GGCATTAGGAATTACTAAATTAGGGTGCTTTATTGCAAATGGCTTTACCCATATCAGAAGGAGCAAGTTGTGTATGATGCTGTGAAAATACTCCATGTGTCAAAGTAGAATTTAGACTGTTTTGTCTTTGTTATAGAGGAATATTCCTCTCATTTTCTTCAGAGGTGTGTATGCTCTGCTCTGATTGCACTGAGTTATTAATCAAGTGACTAATCTGCACTGGTTTAAAGCAAAGGCCAGGAACTTAGGTCCAGCAATTACCAATTTATTTTCAGTGTGACCCTTTAGTTTGAAGAATTCACTGGCAATTGAGATACAGCAAAGCTGATTGGGGTGGCTTGTTTCTCTCTTTCCTTCCTGGAGTGACTTGCCCTGCTATGTTGCTGACAGTGCTTTTTCCCCAACCATACGAGACACTCTGGTCCCATATCAGTCTGATGCCTTGTGTTCCTCAAAGAAATGTCTGTCCAGAGGAAATTGTGTCCTTGTTGCATAGCCGGGTAGTCTGTCAGGTGAAGAGCTGTTCTTTGTGTAGAAGTAAGATGAAAAATCTCACAGAAGTCTTTTATTTCTTCTATAATTTGTGTTTGCTGAGTAAGAGCTGAAGTGGGGCCATGTGAATTGCTGGAGCTAGTTTCGAATATTAATGCCTCACTCGTGAAACACGTGTGCGGGTTGTGTCGTATCATTTACCCTCTCGGTGGAAGTTTATTGGAACTGGAGAGGCTGCAGCACTGGCACTCGCAGCTCCTGAGCTGTAAACCCAATGCACCCCCCCGGCTCTGGATGGCCAGTGCTGTGCTGGCTTTATCTGCCACAGCTGTCTTCTCCTGGCAGGACTGCTTAACTGGGACAAGAATAAAATAAATACTTGTTCTGCTTTATCAGATTATCCCTACCATATAGCTAACATGACTTGTCAGACATTTCCACACAGACGTTGCTATTTTCCTGATTATATTTGTAACAGATAGGCTATATTTAGCTTTTCTCTTAGGAAGCTGATAGTAAACAAAGCCTCTGTTGTTTTGTTGGTTTTTTTAAAGTTTTGTTGCTGTTGTTGTTGCATTCAAGAGTGACTAAGCAAAAATGGAGTCTTACACCAATAAACAAGTTTAAATCAGGTTTTTCTAAACTGGTTCAGTAGCCTTTCAGCTCCCTTCTGATTCTGACAGTGTTTCTGTAATGCTGTGGCAGAGTCACAGTTTTAAGCAAAGCTGGGTGGATCACAGGGTATGTGTGCTTAGAAGATGCCCCAGTGCCGCGGGCCGCGCTGGAAATGCTGACATACTGCTTTCCCAGGAAAGGAGGGACTCAGCAAGAATCCATGCAGCAGGCCTTTTTGAAATTCCATTTTCAATTTTTTGGCTCCTCCCTGTTTGAGGGTTCCCTGTGATTACTGACTCAGGAGCTGTGTCTGGTTTCTAAGACTGCTAATGGGCAGCTAATGGGCTTTCCTCTTGATGGGAGCTTCCAGTCCTTCTCACTTGACTGGAACTGGCTTTAATGGACTCACAAGATTTGGGACATTCAAGGCTTTGACAAGATTTAAGATTTTGTAATATTTAATATAGTAAGTTTGTTTTCAATAATATGAATAGCATGAGCTCCTAAATATTGTATGCCATTAATAAATGGAGCAGAAAAAACTGTCTGACCAGGTGCTGTTGAAAAAGATGTTGGAACGGAGATTATTCTTTGCTATCCAGCCCATCATTTAAGGTAAAGGATGAAACTGAGCTTTTTTCCTGATGAAATACCCTGAATGAGCAGTGTTTTAGTAGCAGCACAAAGTAATTAAAGGAATGGAGAGCTTCACTGCTACCACAAGCAGTTCTGCTCAGCACAAAAAAAGCTTCAAGAGTATCAGCAGTTACTGAGTGAACAAAATAAAAGGTTTACCACAAAATGCCTCTCATTTTCCTCACTGAAAAGGAGCATCAGAACGTTGTAGAAAGTAAGAACTACCCAGGAAGTTGGTGCTTACCCCAGATCTTCATATTTTAGCTGGAGGGGAGTGTGCAGAGAGAGAGGAGACAAATTATGCATACGTATTGTGTGTTCGTGTGTGAATGGTTGCGTTGATGGGGAAGGTAAGATAGGCAGCCCGTGCAAGGGAGTTCATTTAAGACATGCACAGGCACAAAGGTGCACGTCTGGAATGAGCAACAGCGGAGAGGCCTTTTCAAGGCTGATTTTACATGTGCTCCTTTTTCCCTGTTGTTCCAAGTTACTTCCTTCATCAGCAGTCGCAGTCCTTCATATTCGTTTTGACTGTCTTCTGCCACTGCTCCGCACAAAGCCTTCCTCCTTTAAGGTGTGCACTGAGCCCAAGGCTTCTGGCAAGCTTGATTGTGCCGGTAATTAGTTACTTTCATGCGTGAGAACATTGTGACTACATAAACGAGATGGCTGCAGTGTTGGGCAGACGCTTAGTTCTCCCTTTACACCCACAAGATCTCCGAGACGCGTTTCCTGGGCCTCACTCTGACATCAGCTCGATGCCTGCTGAATCTCTAAAATAGGATCTCACACGGAAAATCTCTCTTTCCCAAGCAGCTGCTGGGCACTGCCAGGCTACTGGAGGATGGACAAGATCAGACCCATTCTGGATTCAGCACTCTGGCAAAGCCTCTAGACGTTGCAAAGCATACTTCTCTCTTTTTATGCAGGGATGACTTTCTTCAGTGATACGTATTTCATGTTTCCCCTCTTCAAGACGAACTCCTCCAGTGGGAGGGGATTTGTTAGCAAACAGTTTGTTGCTAATACCAACAGTCAGAAGATCTTGCAAGAGTGCAGTGTTGGTTAGGTGCGCTTTTCAAACGTGGATTTAAAAAGCCTTGGGTTTATGCCAGTATCTTTTTTTAAAAAAAAAAAATTAATTAGGTTGTGCAATGCATTTCAGTAACCTTTTGTACAGCATCTTTTATCCTAAAACAAATTAGTTGCCAAATAAACTGGTTGCTTTACCAAATATATCCAAGAACATATGTCAGTTAATTAAAATAAAAATAAAGACATCTCCTTTGTAAAAGGCCTTGTCTAATCAAACAGGCCATACAAGTTGATCGGTGTTTTCTCTACTGTGTTGCAAACAACTTATGCACCCATTCTGTTACTCCCATAAAAATATATAAATACCACAGAATGCTTGGAAGTTATTCACTACTGTCAGGTGCCACAACTGCTCCACAGCATTTCTGTACACTGGTGCTCAGCTGCGTCTGGGCAGTATGACACATGCACTCAAATATGAGATTATTGCAATTCAGAATGCCTTTCCAAACTGGGATGAGCGTGAACAGTCGAGAAAGGTACCTTGCTGGAGACAGTTCCCGCTTCCCCTTCCTGTCTTCTCACACCTTTCTGCTCTCACCCAGTGAGGTCTTCGCTGGCTGGGATGTAAATGGTATGAAGTAGATAAGGGAATGTTTGAGACTGCAATATTAGTCAGTTGCTGGAGAAAAATCCTTGTCCTTAAGGTGTTTCTCAGAAGATTAGCAAGCCTCCTACCAATGTAGGAAATAACTGACTTGCCTTGTTGTAATAGGATGAGATAGGACCCTTAGATCTTCAATATCAGAGCCTGAAAAGCTAATGTCGCTAGTTATGGGTCTGTATAAGAACAGACCTTTTACAATCACGCCTCCACGCTGTATTTATTCCACTCTTTTGCCATTTTTCCTGGAGAGAGCAAATACTGGAGACACCTTTTAGGTTCTGTGTGAAATCTAATGCCTTTTGAAGTCTACCTGTATATTCATCTTTTCCATTTCCTTTCTGTCTCTGCCAATTGCTTTGATGGAGCTGTTTAACACCAATTTTAACTGATGGCCCCTCTTTTAGGGATACATGGTACTGGGGGCAGAGCAGTGTCAAGTTCCCTAAGCCAAAGCGATTGTCTTCTGTGTGCTTGCTCGTTTAAAGCCAGTGGTGTTATTGATTGAAATTCTGTGATTCACGCCTGTTAGCTTGTATCTACACAAATGCGATTACACCAAAGCGCAACTTTAGGTATGCAAAAGCGGTCTGGAGGATGGGAATACTCTCTGGCTTTCCCAGAACATGGACTGCAGCAACTGTCCCTTGGGCACCACCCTTCCCATTCCTGACTGCACAGATCATCTAACAGCCCTGTGGCGACTGCAGTTATTAAGAATGGCTAGGAAAATATTTGCGGTCAAAGCAGCGTAAGTGATGAGTGGGCAACCAGAAATATTTATTTAGGAGGCCTCCTTTAGGTTTCTAGGACAATCTCAACCTGCCGCACCAGATACCTTTCTGGAGACTTCTAGCAAGGCTAGGGAGAATGGGGAGTCATCCCTTCGAGAGAGGACATGTACCAAAGCTAAAGCTTTAATGAATTTTTAGCCATGAAGCAAGAGACAGGGAAGATTATGAAGCTACTAAAGGCCTGTCTGAGAGCCAGAAATGCCCAAAGCATAGGCAAAGTACCTTATAAATTGACACATTTTAAGAGTATCAATTAAAAACAGATTAAATTCATTTGGGATACGACTTGGTTCAATATGTATGGGTCACCCTGACCTCCCCAGATTTCCCCAAGTGCTCTGGTAATACTGGCTCCATGTAACACGTAGCATTGCCAGCTGTCACTTGAAGATGGTGTTTATTACTGAACCACTTGCATTTCCTTGGCTGGACATGGATGAGACTGTCCTTGCTCCTCAGGAGCTGCCAGTGTGCTCTGAAGCTGAGCAGCCTTGGTCAGGCTCTCTGCTCCCTGAAGATCAGAGAATCATAGAATGGCCTAGGCTGGAAGGGACCTAAGAGATCATTTAATCCAACCTCCCTGTCGTGTGCAGGGACGCCTCTCAACTAGATCAGGCAACACATGGGGATCAAACGGGAAGATTCAAGCTGCCCAGTTCCCGTACTGGTGTCCTGCCTCCTACCATGCTCTGACCCTGCCCCACCACAGCAGGAGTTAGAATTACACTCTTGAGTCATCTCCCCTTTCCCTTTTCTCTTTCAGGATGACAATGGACGCTCTCCAACTAGCCAACACTGCCTTTGCTGTTGATATGTTCAAAAAACTATGCGAGAAGGACAAAACAGCCAATATTATATTTGCCCCACTGTGTACCTCCACGTCCCTGGCTCTGGCATATAAAGCTACGAAAGGTGATACTGCAGACCAAATGAAGCAGGTAAGCTGTCAGCATCCTGTTCTGTGGCTGCAAAATGATATGACTGTCAGAGGTGGCTTTCCTGTTTATTCATGTTAACATATATGGACATCTGGTTCCCTTGTAAGCCAGTCTGCAAAACACCCATCCAAAATTCCTGAACTCCGTGGCCCCACACAGCAAAAGGTTGAAAATCTGACATAAAGAAAAAGCTTTCTGGAGCATCTACAAGGTGGAAGGGGACATGGCAGAATCTTCAATGGTTGCATGAAAACCTTGTCTCCTTTTAGCAGAGTGTTGATTGTGGCTTCAAGTCACAGTCAAGATTATTCCATTTTACAGATGATTGTTGAGTTGGGTGGTTTTTTTGTTATTTGAAAATGCCTAAGCTTTATAGAATTGGAAGGATTTTTTGTTTATCTGTAAGCAGCACGTAAGCTTACCATCTCTGCTGTGTCACTAACACTTCCCCAGTACTGCTAAGAGGAGGTGGGTGCAGTAGTGGAGGTCACAGTTTCAGCCATATTTCTCCTTGGAAGCAGCTCATGGTGTTCAAGGGGTGAGGGACAAAGGGAAAAGAAGGTTGCTAGCATCTGCAGTGCCCCATGCAGGAATTTGAGACAGGTGTGGAGGGTTCGGAAGGCTGCTTGTAAACAGCCACCATCAAAGACTCTGTAATAAGCAGGCATTAGAAGTTCAATTTGTATTTACAGGGTTGTTTCCAAACAAAACCGGCAGTAACCTCTCACCTCTGGTGCCTAAAAGCACCAATTTTTAAGTGACCTCAGCACTGGACTTGTGACATCCAGGAGCTGGGAAGTGGCCACCTGTGGGTCAGCAGCCCTACCTCCAGCTCATACTTTGTCTACCAGACCAGACATAGTTATCTGATCAATTTTTTGCTGAGATAACATGTGATGTCATGTATTAGTCACAGGAATCAGAAAACTTGATGATCTGTTAAGCATTTTTAAAGGTGTAGCCCACAAGGAGACTAACTGGGACCCTCACTAATCTGGCTTAAAAACTCCAGGTTTTTGTACAGGAATGTAAGTTTGGTGAAAATATTACGACTCTCTACTGTACGGTTTTAATCAACTAAGCCACATCACCAGCATGAAGAGCTCTGTTGATTTCTCTGGACTGCTCACAAGAAAGAAATGCATTTGAGTAAAGTTCTGGTAGGATCAGGTTTTTAGATTTATGTGAGGATGTTAAATAAATAAATGATTTTTTTGAGTCACAACAGCAAGAGGCTCTGTTGTTAGCTTAAATATGAAAAGCCATAGCTCTGGTGACTGATTATTTTTTCTAGGCTGTTAGGAATGTTTAGGTGATAACAATGAGGAAGATGCTTAGTATTTTTTATGTTCATTTAACAGGTACTTCATTTGCAAGATGTCAAAGATGTTTCTTTTGGGTTTCAAACAGTTACTTCAGATGTTTCCAAACTCAGCTCTTTCTTTGCACTGAAAATGGTCAAACGGCTCTTTGTAGACAAGTCTCTTAATCCTACCACAGTAAGTACTGCAGAAAAGCCCTGGTGCTATGAATTGCTTGGCCAGCACATTGACAGGTTATGGGGTCAGACTGCAATGTAATTTAAAGTAATTCTCTCACTTTTGGCTGTGGCTTGACTAGACTCTGATGATGAACAACATAATATTCTCTGCTGCCACAGAAGTTTGTAGTACTATGGATGAGTGTGTTGCTTGACCCCAAGCTGTGCAACTATTACAACACTCTTAATTATTTCATTAATATGCTTTAAGCCAGCAGTTCATTAGGTTTTGAATGCAACATGACTTCTATGCCACATCAAGGTTTTTTCATGTTAAGTATGAGAGAAATGAGTTTTAAAAAAATTGGTGATGCAAGTGTGTGTCCAGTTCACACACCTAAGTAATAACTGCTTAAGCTGCAGTTTTCTTAATCTATTTGAGGAGGCAGAAGCCTGGCTACTGAAACAACACAATTGAGGGAGGTAGTGTTTGGCCTTATAATTTATGGACTTTGCAAGTAACTGAGAAAAATATTGTGGGGTTTTTTTCCTCAAAGTTGCCTTTGAATAGGGCTCCAAGCAAGGACAACATCGGCCCAAAAATGATATTTCAGAAAAATCCACATGCTTAAATGATGCCATCATCAGATTGCCTGCTGCTCAGCCTCTGCTACAGCAAAGGCCAGTGCCCACCCACAGCAGTAAACTTCTTAGGTTAGGACAGACGTGATGTGAGCAGCCTATGGCCCTTATCTCAGTCCGCTCTCTTCACTCCTGCAATACCAAAGGTATTTTAGCTGCTGTTGTAACACCACTGGACTGAAGACAACCTTGGGAGCCAAATGCAGCTGTGCGTCCTGGTTGTCACCCACTGTTATTTCGTAGCTGTCCATCTTAACTCCCCAGCCACCCCGTGGTGAACCTTGGGAGGCTGGTGTTGCCAGCTCCGTAAAGAGCCATTGAATGGATGGCATTTAACCAAGGATGACTTTGGTACTTTGTATTTTTCAGGACTTTGTCAACTCCACAAAGAGGCCTTTTCCGTCTGAACTGGAATTAGTGGAGTTCAAAGAAAAAACAGAGGAAACCCGACAGAAGATCAATAAGTCTCTTTCAGAGCTAACTGATGGTGAGTGCAGCTTAACCTTGGGGAAGCTGTTTGCCTCTTTGGAGAAAGAGACTTTTGTCCTCGTGACACCTCTTTACTAATGCATTTAGAAGTAAACACATAGCGAAAGCAATAGGACTAGACCCACTGTTTGGATTCGTGAGGATTAGCAACGTCAGCCTGTTTTGAAATCCCTAACTTTATTACATCAGCGTTTCTGAAGGTGGAAATGTAAGACTGACCTTGCATTAGCCTCAGGGAAAGCTGCTCACATGTAACTTGCAGCAGGACAGTTTGGGAGAAGGACAGGTCCTGGCTGTGAAGCTTCACAACTATCTGACAACCATTTTGCTATTCTGATTGTTTTGTTTTCACACAGCAGTCTAGAAACAAGTAGCTCCTAATTTAGAACTTCCCTTCAAGTCTTCCTCTTCATATAACAAATGCGTTTTTGCTTCTACCTGTTGAGTTTCACTGAAAATTCAATGCCTTCTTCAACTACTGAACAAAAGCAGTAGGTATATTTTTGATGCCGTGCTGTATAAGCCACGAAAACAGGCCATTTGGGAGATCTGCCTTGATCCCAAATCCCATTTTGAAAATGAAACCACAATTTTAAGTATGTGCTTATTTTTGTAATTTTCCATTAGAATTAAGATCTTTTATTTGTGAGATTTGGGACACAATTTTTTTAATTCAGTGAAATGTTTCCATATTCAGTTGAAGCAATTGATATACTGATAATGTATTGTTGTACAAACAACCATCTTAAACCTGTTCACAGGCAAAATGGAGAATATTTTGAATGAGGATAGCGTAAGCGACCAGACTCAGATCCTCCTAGTTAATGCGGCTTATTTTGTCACAAACTGGATGAAGAAGTTCCCAGAGGCAGAGGTCAAAGAATGTCCTTTTAAAGTCAACAAGGTATGTTCTGAAAGAAAAAATAAAGTGCTCTTCCCACTCAAGAAAATGCCAACTTTGAGCTAAGGAAATCCCAGCAAGAGAAAATGGGAAACGTTTATTATTAACATGGCTTTCTTAGACTCTGTCTAAATCTATATGCTGGTATAAGAGTCTCTAAACCAGTTTGCTTGTTCTGTTTTAAAACTTTTCTGGCATTTTCACATCTATCTTTCAAAGGCCCAGTGTGAAAACAGGCTGTCCTGTTAGTATATTTAGAAAGCAGGAGCTGAGTACAAGTGATCAGAAGCAGCCACTGGCTACAAGGAGACGCGCATTCCTGTGGGTAGCTTCTTCCAAGAGTTTGCAGCCTCTACCAGAGTCTTTTGTGGTCACAGAGCTAGTGAAACGTCTACACCCATGGGGTGTCTTTGAGTACTCCCCTTGGGTGCCTGGCCCTGTGTTTTGCTCCTCAGGGATGGAGCCCCATCGATCTCCCTCTTACCAGTCAGGCTCAGGACTGCAGCCCTCGGCGTATCAGCCCTGCTGAGCCACGAGATCCAAGTGGGTGCAGCACCTATGGCTGTTGCCTTCAGGAGTCTGTGACCAGTGATGAATATGGGGATCAGACAGTCAGCTTCAAACCAAGGTATAAAGCTGGGCAACGTTTGTGAGATAAAGAGATTGTACTCCAAAAAATATACATGCATACATACAAGGGCATGAGAAAAGTTGGAGTTTCAGGTTCACTGAAAATACTCATAAATTACCCCATCAGCAAAGGGTTTCAGCTAAAAAAGTTTTTAAAATTATACAATCAACACTAATTTTTTTTCAGTGAAACATATAAAATTGATTTTTCTCTTCCAAAGTAACATTTTTCTAAGGAATTTGAAATTTAAATGAGTTTCCAGGTGACTGGAACAGACTGGAAATCTTCCCTGTGAAATAAAGAATTTTTGTTTTGTTTTGTTTTGTTCCTGAAAAGTAAAGACATAAGACTTTACATAAGCCTGAAATTTCTTCTTATTCAGTTTCAGCTCTTGAACTAAAATACCAACAATTTGTAAGAACAGCTTGTCATTCACTGTTGAGATATACTCAGGGCTTGACACTGGCGTTGTGATACCCTGTAGATGGACAGTGTAGTTTGGAGCACTCCGTGAAACAGGAGTATTGTATTAAGCAGAATTCTGTTCCTCTTTTCTTTGGAAAGCTGCCTACTATAAAAAGCCAACAGGGTCTCTTACAGCTGATTTTGTTACCTAGAAAAGCCAATAAATTCTCTGATGGTGGCTCAGTATGTCACTTCCATGTAATCTTACAAACTTTCCCCTCTTGCCGTCTGTTTGTGAATTAAAAGGAATGCTCGATTGTTTCCTCTGTGTTTTGCAGACTGAAACTAAACCAGTGCAAATGATGAATCTGGAAGCTACTTTTTGCCTGGGCTACGTAAAAGATTTAAATGTTGCCATCCTTGAGCTTCCATGCCTTAACAAACATATAAGTATGCTCATTCTACTGCCCAAAGAGATTGAAGATGAGACCACTGGCTTGGAGCAGGTGAGAGAAAAAAAAAAATTGGTATGATGCACCCCTTGGAAACAGCACACTTGCAATGCCATATGCTTATGGAAGTTTTTTATTATTTAGATGCTATCTAGAAGGAAACAGTAAAAAACTAAGTTTTGTGTGAATTTACCTATCATTCTGCTTCTGATCTGTTCCTGTTCTCTGTTCCTGCTCTTGTTCCTGATTCTCTGTCCCTGCTCTTGTTTCCACTGTGGCCGAGTGCAAGGTTGTGAACAAGAGTTGGGTGTAGATTGGGTGCGCACAGAAGACCGTGTGAAGTGCAGAAGATGCACTTTAGGAATCTTCAATTTGAAGATCGAGACCTCCAAAAGATTTTTGTTCTTGCCATAGTAAAGTGCTTAAAGTCATACTTGCTGGGTATTCAGTAGTGCTGACACTGTTTACTCTGGTGTCTTCATTTTTTTTCAGTTGACATGTATCTGTGATTTATTTCACTTCTCTAAGCTTTAATTTTGAGCAGAGATGCCTGCAAATGAGCCTTTTTAGTACAACTGCACACATATTTTAAAATTACTTAAGCTTTTCCTAAAGAACAACTATTTCTTATGACATCTTTTCTAAGAAAAGTTTAGAATATATTTTCACCTCTCTTCAAATTTTAAGGATTAAGAGACACATGATCATGCAAGTCCTTCATAATTTGCTGCAACTAGACATAATTTTTAAAGGCAGGAGGAATCTGCATTTGCAGCTCTAAGGTATTTTTATAAGTAGGATTAAATTTCAGAACGTACATATCTTAAAATGCAAGCGAGGCCTTTCCTGATACCATCTTGTTGTGGCCCCAAATTCTGCCTCCTCTTTTCCTATATATATATTTTTTTTTAAGAAATACTTAAATAGCTACATGTTTGATTGAGATCAGGCTCTGGATCTAGAGTCTTTTTCTATCCCAAATATCAGCAATTTCATTACTCTGTGGGATCAGGAATCAAGACTTTTGGATCTGCCAGTTGGCTGGGTGTAACCTGGGTAGGAATTGTCTTTCTTAGGTTTTTTTATGGGTTTGTTGAGGTGATTGCCTATCAAAAGCTTGCAAGGTGCTGATAGAGCATGCAGAGGCTTGTCCTATGGATTAAATCATACTTGCATCAGTATAACCCTGTGTTAACCCTGAATGCTACAGCTGTGGATTCAAAAGCAAAGGTTTCATTTTGGACTTTATTTCTGGAGGGCTTGATAGGAGTGGGAAGTTCAGGAATGGTCTTTTTCTCTCTTTCCTTGGACTGCTCATTAATTTTCTTTGTTCCTTTATGTCTTCAGCTGGAAAAGGCGCTCACTCCTGAGACATTATTACAGTGGACCAACCCCAGCATGATGGCCAACACCAAAGTGAATGTATTTCTTCCAAAGTTTAGCGTGGAAGGTGATTATGACCTGAAGCCACTTCTGGAAAGCCTGGGAATGACAAACGTCTTCAATGAGAGTGCATCAGATTTCTCTGAGATGTGTGAGACGAAAGGTGTGGTTTTGTCAAAGATCATCCATAAAGTCTCTTTGGAAGTAAATGAACAAGGTGGCGAGTCCCGAGAGGTACCAGGATATCGGATTCTGCAACATAAAGATGAATTTAAAGCCGACCATCCATTTATCTTTTTGTTTAGGCACAACAAAACTCGCAATGTGATTCTTTCAGGCCGATTCTGTTCCCCTTAAGCAGGGTGTATCCATTATAAAAAAAAAGCTCAATTACACTTATGGTGGTGCATGTTCCTGTAAAGCTTGGCATCCTGACTGTCACCTTTGAAAGGAAATCTAAGAGGTTCATATAGCAGCTGGGTAATACAATGTACTCTACATATGCAGCAGAACTAGTTTCTCTCCTTACATTTCGTCCCCTTAAGCTGAAGGATTCCCACCATGAAGAACACGTCGTATTTTACTGAGAAGTATCCCAGCCTCAGCAACAAGTATCTTTTGTTCCTCTGTGACATCTTTTTTCCCCAGAATGAAGTGAGAGCCTGTTTTACATAGGCCAGGAGTTGGAAAGGGCTCTGAGAAAAGAAGAGCTACGTTCCTGCTCCTTAGCTCCTTCTCCCTCGTGACCCATACTCTGTGGGTCCCTACTGCCGAGTAGGGGAACATGTGGACATGTGGTGTGGTAGCCCTTCCCTTGTATCTGGCTCCACTCTGGTGGTCCAGGATGCCCTCCCTGGCCCTGCCCATGCCCGATGACACAGTGCCCGAGTTCTGCAGTGATTAGCTAGGCAGTTCAGACCAGCATCAGGGTCTGCACCTGTGAAACAGCAGCTGCACTGAGACCTATGGATGCAAGAGACAATAGTCATGGTGACAAAGTGTATACCCAGAAGACTCTTCAGTGTGAGCTACGTCAGTTTGTAGACTGAGGAGGCTGGACTCTGCTGCGTGGGATTTTTTGACTCATTGACCTTCAGACACGAAGAACGGGTCCAGTTCACTGCAGCTATGAGGAGCCCTATTGTACATATCCTGAGAAAAATAACATTATGCAATTCTTGGATAGAAAACAGTTGGATTAATACTGGAAGTGCCACACTTTTCACGCACAGATTATCTGCCATTTCTAGTTCTGGATTCAGCATTAAGGAGGCTCTGTACAATTACTTAATGCCTGAGGAATAAGAAAGAAATAAGGACTTCAACTTGAGTGAGATTAACATTGTAATTACCAGTCTTCAAATTCCATATGAAATTATGGTAGTCAGATTTCATTTCTGTCTAAAGACTGCCTGCTGCATATGTTCAGTACTGGTTTACCTAATTACTGTTCAGAATAAAGCACTATAAAACCTGTGTCAAATGTCTGCTGTACCTCTAGCATCAGTCTCTGTTCACTCCTGTGTGTTCACTGACAGTGTCAGTGTTCACTCTTGACCTCATGTAAATAAGAGGAATGAAAATGAACAGATTCACTTAGGCCACAAAGTCAAAATAAATAAAAAAAAAAAGTAATGTCTGAATTGCCCTTCTGGACCACATGACGATAGTTCCCAGTAAGGACTATGTTACCAGCTGGTCACAATATACAGAGAATTCAATTATATATCCTTAAAAAATGGGGGCATTTTACTTGAGAGTTCCTCTTGGTGCTTTAGGTGTGAAAGAAACTGGAAAGAGATTTCTAAATGGGAACATGAAATCCCTAATGTGCATACTTCTAACACCAAAGGACAGCACGCTGGTTATTGTGAATTTGGAGACAGGACTTCTGTTTTGATTCTTGTCCTTGCCAAGCCACAAGAAGCCTTTAGTCACAATGATTCAGCAGGTTTGCCAGTTTCCTTCCCTCTGTGGACTTCTAATGGGCTCTAACACATTTTCATAGAAGAGGCCTAACTGGATTCATTGGCCCATAGCTTTGAACGTACTGAGGGGACTAACTTCCACCAAAAACAATGGGAGGTGAGACCCTGAAGACCTCTGAGGGTCTTTGCTGATATGCATCAGGTGTCCTTACCCATGGACAGTAGTCAGAAGAAGAATGCAAAATACAAAAATCGCTTTGCAGCTCATCCTGTCTGAGAAGGAATTGTCTGCAAAGATCTTTGCCAGCTCAGTAACTTCAGCACTGGCTGAATGACTGGGAAATGTCTTACACACTCCATCATGGATTTGTTCTGGAGGCTGGGATCAGAGTTATCCAGAGCTGCCATCACTGTGGTTTCTACTGGTTCTCTTGCAGAAGGTGGGTCAGAACATTGCACATGGGGTTGCTGACTGACGAAGCAGCTGCACTGGCAGTCCATACAAGATGGACTAGCTGTCTACAGTCTGTACAGTTTGTGTCTGGGCACTGACTCCAACTGGTAGTTCCAGTTGTCCAGCAGGCCATATCACACCTACTGCTACATCTGTGCTGGTCTGCTAGACTGGTAAACCCTCTGGCAGATTGCCCCATCCCTGTTTTTCTGCCTGAGATTTCCTGAAGGAGAAAAGCTTAGATGTCACTCAGCTTTTTCGAGTTCTGTAAACATTCCAGTCCAGGAGCCAGACTTCATTCAGTGAAGGTCATATTCTGTTAAAATGCTGAGCATTTAGCACATCCACATAAATTTACGTAAGCATGTATTTTCAGAGAATTCCTTGTGATAGCTTTGCCAGGAAGGGTTATCCCATAAAAGCAGAGAGAAACACCACCTCAGGGTGGAGTCCATCTTTCTCCACCTCCTGACTACTGCCAAGGTATGCCAGCCCACGCAAGACAAGCAGATGTCAGAGATACAAAGCTGTCTTAGTCTACAGAAGGCAAACCTATTTGCAAACTCATTTACTGGTGACTTACAAGCAGAGTAACTTGCCTAGGAAGAGCTCAAGTTCATTTTTCTCTTCTGCCTGTACTCTGGGGGAGTAGAGACTGGTGTCTCAGTATGAAACCTATCCCTCTTGCAGCATGTGGGGGGGAAGTATTAGCAAGGCTGGTGTGAGAAACACGGTTAGAGTCTACTGTTTGGTTCCACCCATGCTGGCCTCTGAGCCTTGGGCAAGAAATTGCATGGGAGGACATGGGAAAATGTGTGTGGGAGCTTATGTAAAGGAAAAATTACGTGCTGAAATGTGTTGGTAACGAAGGAGAAAGTGAACATAGCTCAGATAGCCAAGCTGCTCCACCTCACCTTTCAACAAAGCATTACCATCCGGTGATGGGTGACTGCCCTGATGGAAAAAAGCAAGCTGTGGCTGGCTTTTGCAGGCAGCTGCAAACTGCAGTGGTATGTGTCTAGTCATCTCATCACTTGCTCAGCTGCGCAGTCATTACTTGCTTACTGCTCCTAGCATTTTGTAGAAGACAAGGGGGATACATCTTAATGTCTTGTGGTAACAGAAGTTGTTTGTGCAGAAGAGCAGTTTGGTTCTGAAACTCGAGCAATGCTACGCAGAGCCAGTTTGCCCCACTGGAAAAGCAGTGCAATTCTGAACCTTGAATATACTATCCTAAGGGCCTAGAAAAGACAATATACACATACATTGACATTTCCTGAGGCAAAGCAGTAAAACTGATGTCAGGGAAGTTCTGAGGGAATATATGGACAGAGCAAGTAAAATAAATGAGCAGAGGAACAATGTTAATATAAGAGGGAAGGAGAAAGCATGGAGATCAGAAGAAGGACAGTCATGAGAGACACTCAAAAATACTGTCAGTGAAAAGAGGCTGGGACTCATAGAAGAAGAAGAAAAGATACATGGTAAGGCAATGTGCAGAAATAAAAAAAACACAAAACAGATGAAGAGACAGAAAGAACTGAGGAGGAAGACTAAGGAAGACTATAGGAAGGAAAAACAGGAGCAAAGATGTGAGTGGAAAAAGGGAAGCAAAAAAGCAAGGATTAGGGGTAACAAGAACACTCATTTTATCATTGGCTCTTGCATTGTTTACAAATCCCTCTTTTCAGATGGGCACTGGAGCACTGGAGCCTGAGCAACTGGGTTGAGACCTTAGCAGAGGAGCCAGGAACAGCAAAGCTGGTGGGAGCTGCAGCTGAGGAAGAGGATTTTCCAGCTTCAGCAGTGGAAAGGAAGTGTGGGAAGGGCAAGATAGTGCTGGGAGACCTTCTTCCTCTTTCCTCCTTTCCCCTCTCAACATGTCTCAAATATCCTATGAATCCAAAGCCAGTTTCCTGCTTTGTAGGAAGGAAGAAGTGAGAAAGGAAAGGCAGAAGATTGTCAGGGTTGCAAAGCCACATACAGCCCTAGAGGACTTAATTTTGACCCCTGAGTCCAGCTACCATAACCCAGTGTCGCACCTGAGCTCCATTGTGTTGGTTAGGGCAGATCAAACACTGTGCTGGTGCAGCTCTATGCTTCCCATCGCTTTACTTGTGTCTCACTTCAAGCTGGAGACATAACCTGTGTGATCAGCTACTTCTAGCCACCTTTTTTTCTTAACTCCAGTGATTTAAAAGAATACCCCCTGGCTGGGGATTCCTGTTACAGTTCAAGGAAATACTTCTTCCCCTCTAATTAGGCTCCTTCCAAAGCTAACTCCTAACCTGAGAGAGATGGCTGTAGGCAACATAAAGCTCATGCATTTCCCATTCATTTGCTCTATCTCTGCAAGCAAGCTCAGCTCTAGACAAGGCTTCTCTGAATGGGATGAACCCTGCACACCCCTGCATCCAGGCCAGACCCCATCAGATGTGGAAGGGACTGTGCACAGCAGTGCAGCTGTGGATCTCCAGGGTTAATGACCAGTTTTCCAGTTGAGGGCTTCTTGGCATTACAGTCAGGAGATGTTGCCAGCAGATACTGCCTGCCAAACTTGTTGGACAACTTTGAGAGCAGGACTATTAGCATATTGCTAGTTATAGGAAACTTCATGCTGATGGCATTTGCATTATGCTGCTATCATCAACAATTGGTTATAGGCTGAACTTTCCCACAAAGGAGGGAGAGATTTTTGTAATACACTATTCACAAGAACACGCACCAGAGCCCAGCTGTTGTGCTCTTCAATTAGCCTCTTCGAGCAAGAAGGTAAACAACTATTATTTATTTATTTCCCCCCCCCAAATAACTTGTGAATTTTTTTTGGCAGATCCAAAGTAGTCCACAGTAAATATCATGTTTACAGATGGGACAGAGGGGGAGATACCTTTACAAGCTGCAGGCAGCAAAACACACTGCTAAAATTCAGGTGGCTCAAGGGCTCACACTAAGAGAGCTGGTCTTCAGTGATG